AGAGAGAGAGAGAGAGAGAGAGAAAGAGAGAGAGAGAGAGAGAAAGAGGGGGGGACTATTGCAAGTTTTTGTGAAATTAAGTTATTATCATTACTTAAAACTTCAAATATTCTTCTAATAATCATAATTTAAATCAAGTATGGACACATATGTAAGTGCACTGTGTTTAAAAGTAAAAAAAATGCACTGATTTATATTAGGTAAGTTCAGATAAACCCCTCTATACCTCAGAACTCTGTCATTGTGGGATAGCTCCTTGTTCTACTGAGCCCTCCAATTTTGTTCTCAGCTCTCCTTATTGCTCGTAATTGCCTCAAATTACAAACATACTCTATTAAAATACTTCCCTTCTGTAGGGCATTTACATTTACCTCGATTTGAGGTGCCAAAAATTTGATGAACTATTCAACTAACACACATCAAAGGATTATAGCTCTGTATAAAAAAATTTCAAGTAGGAAACTCAAGAGGATGACACAATTAGTTCACTGCTAAATGTATCCGAACTTCAAGTATGTACCAAACAAATATTGAAGCAGAAAAGTAATTTTTGTTTATAAACTGATTTCGAGTTATTAAACACATGAATTCCTGCCTCATAATTTAGAAGAGGTTTATTTTGTAATTTGAGAGAAAAATTATGAAAAATATTTTTATTTTGGAAGTTTGTACAAGCAAGTGCATTTCATTGTAGCTTTTTAACCTCTATTTGCTGTAATTATGTATTACCAATGACTTTTTTTTTTCCAAGGGAGAGAGATAGTCTAAGCCATTATTGCTAGCAATTATAAAATGCTAACACACTTTAATGAAATCAGCACCGTCCAAATAAAATAAACATTGAACAAACTATTCAATGCATCAATTTAAGAAGCATATAAAATATTAACTATTCCATGCAAATGTGAAACTAGTATAAATAACAAGATAATTGACTAAATCTGTGGCGCTGTAGAAATTATCCCAGAGAATTAGTCACATCTGTATTGGTGAAATCAGTTTTAAAGACAGATTTTCTCTAAGCTACGTAAAAAGAAAACATGAAAATGCAATACTGTATAAACAATCATGGAGTATCACAATGTTTTCACATGTTTTCTTACCTGCAGTTACATATGTGGCAGTGATTTAATAGAGCAATTCCTTTTTCTTTCAATATATGTCGCCTGCCAGTTTTACAAAAGGAATTAGTACTTAGTTAATATGTGTTTGGTCATTCCAGTTGTAACTACAATTGTAGTTCAAGTACTGTAACCAAAACGTACCAGTCAGGCATTCCATGAACACATGTACACTTCAATAGCAATGGTGCAAATAATCACAATTATTTTCAATTAACAGTTTACTGTATATTTGCTAGCACAACATCAAGATAATAAACCAAAAATCAACAGAAAAACAAGACGAATTAAAAATTACACTACTTCAATTTGTAAGATAGGGTAATTAGAAAGTCTTTCAAAATTTCTCAATGAAAAGAATGAATTGTCAACACGCTTTTCATTATACAAGTGGAAAGACTTGGAAAGCAACGTAAGTAAAATCTGCCTTCATTAAAAATAATTAAAGATACACTAATATATTTGATTAATTTTAGTGCCCTGCCAATATGTTCATATCAATACATTTTCAATTAGACAATCTCACAACTTTTCACAATTAAAAGAAAAACTTGTCAACAGGAACTTGGGGTAATAGTTAGATATGGCCCTCAAATGGGGGAAGAATTGTTTTAAAAGAAATTTTTTCATTATGATCTTGTGTATAATAAAAAGTTTTCAAAAACATAGCTTTAAGATTACAAAATATTTGGAAGCCATTTATCGCAAAATGTTTATATATTACAAATAATTGCAAGTAGCAAAATATAAGACACTTAGAATATATCAGCTTACCAAAAACCAGTGTTAGTGAAAAAGAACATGCCCAGTTCCAAGCAGTGTAATTAACATTTAAGACAGAAATACACTACAAATATTTGAGCTACTAAAAAAATAATTGTCCATTTCTGTAGCATATACTTCTTATGAGCACAACCCCTTATAATAGAATTGGAATGATTCTAAAGGAAAGAAATGCTGTTCTTTTCTTTAGCGTTACTGCTTCAGCCCACTCTTCATAAATAACGAATTTTTTCAATTAATTTCAACCTGGAGCATAGATATTATACCATAATTATGTGTAAAAGGAATTGGACCATTTCCCATTATAACGTAAACAGTTCACATAGCCAAAAGATTTAGTTTTTCTTGATAAATTGGAAATTGTTTTGTTTTTTGTTGAGGAATAATGGCAAACAAGTTCCACTAGTCAATATAATCTCCCAAGGGTTTAGTTAAACCTTTTGATTTGTTTTGAAACATCAAATAGATGTTAATTTGTTCTTAAGAGTGCAGAATGAATTTCTCAGAGGGCCACTGAAAATTACAAAATCGATGGAAGTCATTTATTCCAGGAAAAAGGAATAATGCATGAATCCAGATGTCGCAATGTGGTCAACGAATTTGTTGATCCTGAATACAGATGTAACATGCATAAAGATAAAAAAACACTGGGAGTTCACAAAACATCAATAAGGTGAATGCCGAAACCTCATCAGGCAATGCTGGAGTCTTATTTTAGTAAGTGAATTTATGCGGGCAGAATGGACAAGCAAAGGAAAGATTATGGTAATGAAATATTAAATTATATTTGCTGAAGTTTTGGTGTATGTCATCATTGAAGCAGCATTAGTGAGTTTTTTAAATGAAAATTTTAAAATGTAATATTAAGTTTTTAATTGTTCATTAGTTTCCGCTGAACCAAGAAAAAAATTAATTCAATCATTTCACAATTTTGTAATATTTGAATTAGTATATCAATAAAGCCTCTAATTTTTTTAGATTTTTATTTTCATTTTTCATTGGTTAAAAACAATGGTACTACATGCTAACCATACTTATCAGTAATGATTCTTTATACATATTATTTATTTTAGAAAGTGATTAAACTTGCATGCTGTAATAACACAGGTTGAATAAAAAAAAAAAAAAAAAAAAAAGAGAGAAACCAATGAAGAAAGCAAATAAATACAGATACTAGGATTCGTTCCGCCGTTCTCCTGAGAGATCGTCAACACATGACGTAGGACCAAACAAATTGCCAGTGAGAAAGCTATAGTTTTAAAAGCCTACAATTTAACTTAATTCACACACCAGAATGGTACCAACAAGCTTGTGAGACCTCCACGGCAGATATAGAAATTTTAAATAGCTATAAAGAATGTGGTACTTGCAAGTTCCGTCAGCAACTAAGGGTTTAATGGGCTTTATTTGTATGTGTGTTTGTATAGAGTTCTAACCAATCAGGAAGGATTTATTTAATGAAATACATGCAATAATATTGCTGAATTCTGGCCATCATTGAAACATAATTAGAGCATTTTTAATAAAAATTTTTGGAAGAGAAGCTATTAAAGCAAATAATATGAAAAAAGTCTATTGTGAGTTTAGCAGGGTTTTTCCAGGCAGTAGCCACCACCTTTAAACTTAGGTAATATGTTAATAGTATTACTATTAAATTGTAGTCATAATATGAATAGTTTTTGTGTAAAACAAATGTTTTAAATGTACTGCATAAATGTTGATTGGATTCTTGTATCACACATGTTCATCTGTTTAACATTGTTGAGAACCAACTCCTATCACTGTTAACAAACTTTTTCGTGTCAAGGAACAGGCACTGTATAATTTTCCAATTAGTGAACTTTATATATGAATAACAGAAAAGATCCAAACAATTTGTTGGGGTAAATCAATCACACAAAATATTTATCATGCAACTTCAGCACCACATATAGTTTCTCTTATTTTAGAACATTAAAAAAAATACTTTTTTTGGCAACAACTTAACAAAAAAGTCTATAAATAATTAAGCTTTTGAAACTATTTGCAAAACAATTTAAACAAAAGCAATGGTAGCAAAGTCTTCTGAAGGAGAAATTACAAGTGTACTTTACTTGATGGCGTTTTATCTCTCATTAAAAAACTCTTAACACATCAGATACATTTCATACAGTGTAAAAGATTTGTATGTTAAGGGATATGTCTGAAAAGAAAGTCAATACCAGAAAGTGCATTCTATATATATTTTCGCACCAGATTTCCACCTTGAAATTACTGCAATTTATATTAAAAGTTGAACAATGTAGAGCAATTAATTAATTAAATGATATAAAGATTCAGTATTTCACTGGAATGGTCAATTTTCAACATTCATGAAAAACAATAATTTCTTTTACAAAATTACTTGTGAACAATTTTCGAAAGTCACACAACATCAAAATTCATAAATCATGTAGGCTTTTCGCTATAGGCCTCACTTTTTTCTTACTTTAGGAACTAGATAGAACAATGAAGCAGGTATTGAACAAATTAGGATTTGGTGTTATCATTAAGACTAGCATAAAGTTTAGATAAAATAATTTTTATACAAAAATATACCCCTAAAAACATTCAAATGCAAACTATTAATACACAAATTTGCAACCAAGAATGAAGAGGAATGTATGTGATAAAAAATTAAATACATTCTTTCAATTGCAGACCAGGTCACACAAGGAACCACATAAGGAAGTGCCACAATACAATTCTATAAGAAACCCTAAAAACATGAATTACAGAAACTTTGAATTCGCAAAAACCCTAAATTAGCAGAAACCTGTGATTGTAAGCAGCAGGCTAAAGTGCAATCCTCAGGTGGAAAAAATTAATACTGAGTAACATGTAAAACTTTCAAGTCAGATCATTAATAGAGATGCTTGTGCCTCTAAAAAGGTTTCAGATTAAATTACTATATTTTTTGGATTCAATTTAATTTGGAATACTAAAGCAAATAATGCAGAACTAAAAAAAAAAAACTATCTGTAAACTCCACTAAATTTTAGCATTGAATGCATAGATTACACTGTCCTCCATTGTCCTTAACTACTGAGTAAGTACAGCAAAACAATCAAAATATTAATAGCTTAACATCATTTGTGTTCCCTGGCGCAACAAAGAATCAAATCTACAGAAAAATGAAGAGAGATACTCCTAGTACAAGATAGCAACAAAGAAGTTTCATTTGCCCACCATTGCTCCTGGACCTCTTTTGCTTTGTTTTGATGGTTTTTTCAGAAAAAATCCGACCATTAATGGATAATGAAAAAAGTCCGCAAGTACTAGTTAAACAAATTTCATACAAAGTTCAATATGAGGCTAAAGTAGTATAAATTTCAATGCCTTTAAGAATATTTTAGCAAACAATATAGAGAATCTATCAATCATTGGAATAAGTGATACAAAAAAATTTTCAAACAGAAATATAAATTAGAAAATTAATAATGTAATTTTAAGAAAAACTTTAAGCTAAAGCAGACTCATTACAAACATGCCCAGTATTGAAAATACAGCCAAGAATTTCTTAAATTAATCGTCACATATTTGGTCAATCTCAAATAATGCACCCTTCACGAAATGCAAAAAAACAATTTATACAAATATATGAACATTGGATATGGTGATGTCAAAAATCTGTCATCACTTAATTCTAATTCCACTGCATGGCCTTTGAGATTCAGGAGCATTTATTTAATTTGAGACTAGCACCAAATTACTAATAATCATTAAAAACATATTGAATACAGGGCATTCTACAGAACACTGATAAAGCTTCAACAATAATCAATAGCATTAAAGTTGGTGATATGAATCAAGACTGCCTGAAGGCACATAGACATGAGAAATTTTACAGAAATGTACAATGAAAAAATTAAAATAAAAAGGGGAAAAAAATGAAATGAAAAAAATATTAAAGACAAAAGTACAAAAGAAACAATCTATTCTAGAATATCAGTGTGGCAGTTTTTGCACGGTCATTGCTAAGATCTGGCCCAATTCTTACTGAACTTACTGAACAGCACACTGGTCTGAAGTGCGGAAAACCTGGCCAAAATGTGAAAATTTGGATTAAATTTGCTTGCAAAATTTGTTTTTTTATAAAAAACATAAGTTTTCATATTCTTAATCAGTGCCTCTGGAGCAATTACATAAACTTATTGTTAAGCAATCAAAAAAACTTTTGTATTTTGGCCAGGTTTTTGAGAAGCTGAGACCAGTGTGTGGTCACGTCAAGAAATATAGTGAGCAGATCTAGTGATGACTTATGCCAAAACTCCGGCAAAGCCTCCACCCCTAAAGAATGCTATTTTCAATTCACAAATTAATCAAAAACACTGGCATTGTGGCTTAGGGCAAAAACTGATTTCACTTCTTACATCAGAGACCAACAAGGTTAATTTACAACAAGTAATTGCAATGTCAGTTTTATTTTCCTCCACATCAGATCTTATTAACAAAAATCAGAAGCTCTTTATTACAATCTACACATTGGATTTATAAAGTATATAAAATTAACTTCAAAACAAGTAAGTCATTTCTAGCATAATTCAAATTACTACAATTACTTTTAAGAATTTTAAAAGAGTAAGTAAATAATAAATTAAAATTACTTATTAGAATTCCCTTTATAGCAGCAATAGAGAGCATTATGCCAAAATAGATGATTAAACATAAATATATTTATCGTATTTTTAGAACTTCTAATTTATTTTATTTTATTTTTCATTATTTTGCTTTTTAAATTACTCATATCTTACCTTCAAATCTTCCATTCTTTGCTTAATCTTTTGGCGCATTTCTCGAAAATCTGGAAAAGAAATTGAAAAGAAAAAAAAAAATTCTGATAAGAAACATAAAAATTTTACATTTATACATTACACAACTTCTTCCAACAAATTATACAATTTACCAACAATAGACTTTTTAATAACATAGCAAGTTCCTTCTTTATATGAACAGAAGCAATATTAGAAAGAATTAAATCTTTCTTTAATTCTTTTGGTTTTAAAACTGTTTTGAAACACACCCATTTTAAAATACAAAGTTTGAATACAAATGAATCTCTTTGCAAAGAGCCTCATAATCTTAGGGAAAAATAAATAAAATTACATCAATAAAGAAAACATACATAATTTTCCTCTATTATCGATTCAGAGAATTCAAGTTATGTTAATTCTTCTGACGTTTTTCTGACTGTTTAGGCGAGTTAAATCTTGACGAAAATTAATATTCCTTTGAAATTAAAGTCGCTCCCCGCTTGGCCCTGTTATTCACATTAGATCAAAATCAAAATAACCATTTAAAGTTATACGTAGAAATAATAACATAATAACATGTCAAATAAAAATCCACACTTAAAATGGCAAAAATATAATTTTAGTAAAATGTCTTCATGTTCTAATTGAGTATTAAAAGAATACCTGGATTAAAACCTATAAACACAAGTCAATACATTTTATATCCTAGAAATTATGCATTTTTTACTTCATTCGCTTTTTATTCCATAAAACATTTCAAGTACAATTGTTGAACTTACTTAAGTGCACTCTTTTCATACTCTCTCTTCTTCTGTCGTCTTGATAACGTTCAAGAATGGCACACGGCATTCAGCAATACTGCAGATTCCAAAATTTGACAACTTCAGCAATAATTTCTTGAGTGTTCTGAACGATCCTTAAAAACAACCTTAGCAACATCTTCAATGTGGGCCAACATAACTCGGACTAAACAAGGGGTATTCATCACTCGTAAGCGACGCTGCTCTGTAATTTTTTTTTACAGACATGATAAATTTTTCTAAATTTAAATATTGGAATTTTTACTTTAAAATTATTAGTAATTATCAATTAAGAAACTTTCTTCATCTCCTAAAACTAATTTTACTAAGTGATAACCCACTGACAAGGATATGAATAAATGAAATAATCTTGAGCTGATTTGGTTTTTGCAATAATACAGCATCTCTCCATATAATACCAAATCAGAATAACTAAATTCATAATTAATTAATTTAAGTCATTATCATAGTAATAACTGTTTTTTTTCCCCTTTTCTTTTCTTTTCTCCTTACTGTAAGAGGCACATTGAAGCACAACTATTGTTGAAAACAGGGTTAAGTTAACAGTTATTAGCAATTATTGTGGAAATTCCATCAAAAATACTCCAGTACTGAACAGGACATTAATTACCAGTGCGCGCCAGACACGTGCACACACCCACACACCAACACACACACACACTCTCTCCCCCTCTCTCTCTTGATACAAGGCATTACACAACCATATTTTAAAATTTACAATAGCTATTGTAAGCATGTGTAAGTCAAATCAAGGAGAAGAGAATTAATGCCTGGTAGAGAGAGGGGGGAGGAGAGAGGGGGAGAGAGGGGGGAGAGAGGGGGGACGAAGGGGGAGAGAGGAGAGAGGGGGAGAGAGGGGGGAGAGGGGGGAGCAGGAGCGGAGAGTAGTAGGAGGGGGGAGAGAGGGGGGGAGAGAGAGGAGGGAGAGAGAGGGGGGAGGGAGAGGGGGGGGGAGAGGGGGGGAGGGGGGGGGGGGGGGAAGAGGGAGGGAGGGGAGAGAGAGGAGGGGCGGAGTGCGGAGAGAGAGGGGGAGGAGGAGGGGGGGAGAAGAGATAGGGGGGGAAGAGCGGGGGAGAGAGAGAGGGAAGAGGGGGAGAGAGAGGGGGAGAGAGAGAGGGGAGTAGAGAGAGGGGGAGAGAGAGGGGAGAAGAAGGGAGAGAGAGAGGGGGAGAGAGATAGAGGAGAGAGGGGAGAAGAGGGGAGAGAGAGATGGGGGAGGAAGCGGGGGTGAAGAGAGAGGGGGAGAGAGAGGGGGGAGAGAGAAGAGAGAGAGAAAGAGAGAGAGAGAGAGGGAGAGAAAGAGGGAGAAGAGAGAGAGAGAGATGAAAGAGAGAGAGAGAGAGAGGAGAGAGAAAGAGAGAGAGAGAGAAAGAGAGGAGAGAGAGAAAGAGAAGAGAGAGAGAAAGAGAGAGAGAGAGAGAGAAGAGAGAGAGGAGAGAGAAAAGGAGAGAGAGGAGAGAGAGCAAGAGAGAGAGAGAAGAGAGATTAGAAAGAAGAGAAAGAGAGGAGAGAGATAAAGAGAGAGAGGAGAGAGAGGAAAGAGAGAAGAGAGAGAAAAGAGAGAGAAGAGAGAAAGAGAGAGAGAGAGAAAGAGAGAGGAGAGAGAAGAGAGAGAGAAAGAAAGAGAGAGAAGAAAGAAAGAGAGAAGAGAAAGAAAGAGCGGAGAAGAATAGAGAGAGAAAGAAAGAGAGGAGAGAAGAAAGAGAAGAGAGGAGGAGCAGAGAAAGAAAGAGAGCAGAGAAAGAAGAGAGAAGAGAAAAGAGAGAGAAGAGAGAAAGAGAGAGAGAGAAAGAGAGAGAGAGACAAGAAAGAAAAGAGAGAGAAAGAAAGAGAGAGAAAGAAAGAGGAAAGAAAGAGAGAGAGCAAAGAGAGAGAGAGGAAAGAGAAGGAAAGAAAGAGAGAGAGAAAGAGAGAGAGAAGAGAAGAGAAAGAGAGAGAGAAGAGAGAGAGAAAGAGAGAGAGGAAGAGAAAGAGAGAAGAGAGAGAGAAGAGAGAAAGAAGAGAGAGAGAAAGAGAGAAAAGAGAAGAGAAAGAGAGAGAGAGAAAAGAGGAGAGAAAGGAGAGAGAAAGAGAAGAGAGAAGAAACAGAGAGAGAGAAAGAGAAAGAAGAGAGAAAGAAAGAGAGAGAAAGAGAGAGAGAAATGAGAGAGAGAAAGAGAGAGAGAAAGAGAGAGAAAGAAAGAAGAGGAGAGAGAAAGGAGGAGAGAGAGAGAGAGAAAAAGAGAGAGAGAAAGAAAGAGAGAATAAAAGAGAGAGAGAAAGAGAGAGAGAAAGAGAAGAGAGAAAGAGAGAGAGAAAGAGAGAGGGAAAGAAGAGAGAGAAGAGAGAAAGGAAAAAGAAGAGAGAGAGAGAGAGAGAGAGAGAGAGAGAGAGAGAGAAAGAGAGAGGAGAGAGAGAAGAAAGAGGGTGGGGGGACTTTGCAAGTTTTTGTGAAATTAGTTATTAAATCATTAATTAAAACTTCAAATATTCTTCTAATAATCATAATTTAAAAAATCAAGTATGGGACACTATATGTAATGCATCTGTTTTAAAAGTAAAAAATGACTGATTTATATTAGGGTAAGTTCAGATAAACCCTCTATACCCAGAACATTCTGTCATTGTGGGGTTAGTACCTTGATATTCATTGCCTGAGGAAGTATTTTTAGAGTAATGTTTGTATTTAGGCAATTACGAGCAATAAAGGGAGGAGGCATTAGGAGACAGCAAATTCTGGGAACGTGTGTTCCTTCAGTAAGAACAAGGAAGCTATCACAATAGACAGAGTTCTGAGGTATACTGAGCCCCTCCAATGATGTGTTGGGTGTCTCAGTCTCTCCTATGCTTCACGTAATTTGCTCCAAATTACAGAACAATACTCTATTAATAATACTTTCACCCCGCTTACATGTAGGGGATTTACATTTACCTCGATTTATGAGGTGCCAAAATATTAATGATGAACTCAAAGTGGACTCTCAAAATCTAACACTTCTTATCAATAGACACTCTCATATTGCTTTATACATAAGTATACAAAGATAGAACAATTATCATAACGCTCATATGAGGGTAGATACCATCTTAAGACGATTTGAGATTCTCATTTAAAATTATTGATTATATTAAGTGTAAACTGACTATATTTGAAGTTTTTAAGTAATAGATAATTAAAATGATATTCGAACTCCAGTCAAAAAAACTTTGAAATACGCATAATATTGCACACGCAGAAAAGTAATTTTCTGCTCTTATCACTCTGTATTCCTTTCGAGTTTATTACTCCACACTCACATGATCATTTCCCCTTTCGCCTCAAATTTAGAACGAGGTCTTCATTTCTTGTCACATTTGAGAGTAAAACATCTATCGCGCAAAAATTATCTCTCTCTTACTCTCTTCTTGGACAGTTTGTATCATCGCTTAATGCCCTTGCATTCTCTATTCGCTAGCTTTTTCACCTCTCCATTCTGCTGTATATTATGTATTACCCCAATGACTCTCTTTTTTCCTTTTTTTTTTTTTTTTCTTCTTTTCAGTAGTTCTACTCGTATAACTCACTCATATGGTCTCTCTTATATTCTACGTATCTGCTC